CTTCTGACAAGGTCCCTCACTGAAAGCTCTTAAAATTGACCTTCTGTGTTTGTACTACTGTTTCTCTATTTTGTCCATCCTTACTTGTGTTGGTAGTATCTATTCACATAAACAGTTCCACTGAGCTGCCTACTGACTTCAGTGGTGTCCCTCACATGAGTAAGTAATGCTCAAGTGTGAAAAAGTCTGTAGGAATAAGCCTTTTAGCTAGTGAATAAACCTGCATTTGATTATTTTAAGTTCAACTGCAATGACAAGTTATATACGTAAGACTTAGAACGAGAATGATTTCATGAGATAAGAGGTGGGCAAATGAAGAAGAACACTATTTTTGCAAATAATTTTTCTTTGACTGTGGTGCTCTCCTTTTAAAATAGCTTTTGAAGATATTTGTACAATTAAGTGTTGCTTGTGCAAGTGTTTGCAGGAAGGGAATTTGGGGCTCATTCTGTAGTGGAGATTCATTTAATCAGAAAAGTAAATTTATTCTGTGATCGATGCATTGTTGTTATTTATAAACCAAAATCCACATGAAGAATCACTACCTGCACAGATGCCCATGAATAATACTTTTTACTGGATATACACAAATGTACAAATCCCAACTGCATACAATTTCTTGGACTAGTTTCTGGTAACTCTGAAAACATAGAACGCAATGAATTCCAGTAGAGGATTCACAATCCAGCTGAAAGCATTCAGCGCTATTCCTATACACCATCGGGACAGAAATTACACCTAAACTGGTACAAGTGATTGGAAACTGGTTCAAATCCAGAACACAACAGAAGTTCATTGCACATAAACCACTTTCAAGATGGCTGAAACTGGTTTAAGATAAACCTGGATGGATGTAGTATCAGATTTAACTGATTTAGGTTAAATTGGTTTATTGAACTGCTGTCGCAGATCCCCTCCAGATCCAAGTTAACCCACAGTCCTCCAGCATCCAAGGATGCTTTGCACCTCCCCTGCACACCCCCCTCACAGGATAGGCAGGCTAACCTTGGCCCAAGCTGTCTGCTCCAGCCTAGCAGGGAGGCATGCTCTAACACCCCCTAGCTTCTGACTTGGGCCACTGCAGGCACGTGGCTGCATTTGCAGAATCAAAAGTGAATGTCTGTTCACTTGCTTATTGGTTCAATCTACTTAGCTTAGACTACCCAGAGAAGATTGAATCAATTCAGCCTCAGGCTTTTTGACTGTCTGTATTTAGCCCAAGATTGGTTCTCAATCTTGTTAGACTTAAGGCACCCCTCGTTAAACTGAGAGTGCCCCTGGGACATTCTAGCTCTCAATTTTCACTCATTTTTGACTACAGAAAAATAACAGAGCAATTTCTCCGTTGCAAAAAATTCAAAAAGATCACAACAGATTTTTCACACTATGGTTTGCTATTTGAAATCTTTGGGTTTATCTTGTAAATCATGGCTGCATACCTAACAGTGCTAACATTGTGTGACACCCCGCGGCACCCTTGAAAGGATCTCAAAGCACCCTGGTTGAGAATCACCACTATGCACTAAAAGATGATACTTCTTTTGGAGGGGTAGGAGATGAAAGCAGATGAATCCTTAGTATGTTTTGATCAGCCTGAATGTTTTTTTTTCACTGGTTTGCTATTATTTCTAGCTCTACAAAATCTCCCCAGGACCAGACAATCCTCTAAAACCAAAAGAAACATTTTGTATCACCTCTGTAGTAGGTAAAAGATTAAGCAATCCAATCAGCAAACAGACCAAAATGCCATGCAACATAACACGCTAAACAAATATCTAGAATATTAAATCTCCTGAACACCAAATACCTAAAAGATTATTCATAAGTTACAACTAGAGCAGCCAAAGGCTGAAATCTTTTGGGACAAGATATTAGAAGAACAATTTTGAACTGTGAACAGATAACTGAAAGATGCTGTCTATTCATGGACGTTCACCTCTGTGTAGAAGGCCAGCAAAAAATCCTGTTCATTACTTTAGCCCTTGACAGTGTCTTTATTGTTAGCAATACCTACCATCTAGAGGCTGTACCTAAGATCAGAACCCCCTTGGGCAGGTACGAGACAGTCCCTCAGACCAAGGTTTAAACTATGGGACAGAGATGACTGGCCCAGAGAAGTAAAGGTCCTGCAGCAGGTCAGCATCAAGGCAGTGCCCAGAATCAAGGTCTTCAGTGCCACTCCAATTTCCTCTTGAAGCTTAAGTGGTGCAGCTGTCTTGCTTGTCCTCTTGGGAATGGGAATTTCAGCCCAGATAAACTGTTTGCCTGTCTCTGGTTTTGATTAGAAACCATACATCCCCAGAGCCTCAAAAGAAAATTTTATTAGAAGGATTAAACAGCAAGTAAGTCAATAAAGTTATTAAAAACCCATTTCTTTGCTGAATTACCCGGCTTTTTCATTAGTTCTCGAGCAAACACTACAGCACAGCACATTAAGATTTTTCAGCATCCAAGGACCTGCATGGGCCTCTTCCCTTCAGAGCTTTCAATAGGACTTCACCCAATGGCAACCCCTTTCTAATGTACCTATTTTATGTAAGAGGAGAAAGAGAGGGTGTTTAAAAATGCTCTGGCCATAGGGGGAAACACTTCTATTCAAAGCCACAGCTGGGCTGACCCTATTACAATAACACAAACTGCCTGTCGAACACAAAAGCCCTGCTAGGCGTGCAGTGTATTGCATACGCTGTATCTCTCCACCCTGCCGTGCATTATTCTTTTGCTCACTGACATTTTAATATCAAGAGATCTCACATGAAATTCTTATTACTTGTTTAATACCAGGGAAAAAAGTGTGGAGATTCTATTATAGGTAGAAGATACTGGAAGCAGGGGAAAAAGCACACTGTGGTTTCAGCAGAAAGAAATTACAGATATATAAATATAGAATACAGAATATTTTTATATAATTTATACTATATATTATAGACAAGGCTGGAGCATTTTCCGTTATTGAGGCTGGTAGACACTTCCCATTATAAGACCTTGCTTCCAGTGGCTTATAACTTTGCCAGACTTCAACCATTTGGGCTGAAGTGTGGTGGTTTAATAATGTGGCCAAGTGCTCGGGCAGTTGCCTTGCCCAGGGGCAGTGGTGACCTGCAGCAGTCACTAACAGTGCCGATAAGAGGTCTGTTGCTACAGCATTTTTCCCTGCTCCCCCACCTCTTTCTCCAACAAGTCGGCGCCCGGGGGAGCTGCCCTGGTTCCACCACTGCTGAAGTGCCCCATGCTGGGTATTTATATCAAGCTTTTTATTTCATTATTTTTTAAGCTGAAGCTGTAACATTTCAGCTGATGCTGAAATGAGGTTAGGAAATTATTTTCCCCCATGCTAAAAACTGTAACTACCTTTTCTCTGTCTATGCTGGCGTTGCAGTGGCGTTGCATATTATTACTAGTACTTGGATTGCAGGGGTTTTGGAGGCTAGGGCAGAGACTGGGGCTTCATTGTCCTGGGCAGGGTACAAACAGGGAAAAAAGATGGTCTCTCCTTTAGTTCATATTCTGCATAGCATATGCATTATGGGGCAGCAGTAGCATAACTGCGGTGGAACAACCGGGGCAGGCATCCCAGGTACTGACTTGGCAGGGGGTGGAAAAGCCAGAAAACCAGGTGCCTCCGTGGCCATATGGATGTGCTTGTGGCACAACAGCAACCAGAAATTATTGCTGCCCTGATGCATGGCAGGTGCCCTGGGTGCCTGGCCATGTTGTTATGCCTCTGATGGGATTTTCAAAAGTGTCTAATTGACAAAAGAGTGCCCTTGTGTATACAGCATAACTGTGTATAGACAGACATCTGCATTAGCAGGTTTAGGTTGCGATTGGAGCCACAGAGCCCTAAAGATGTGTAAGAACTGTTTTTAGAGTTGCAGAATACTTGCACCTTGGCTTTTGGCACATACAGGTAGGTGGGCAGATGGGGAATGGCGAGATGAGCAGACAGTGGAGTGCTGGAATGGGATTTGCCTCCCGCCATTGTAATCAGGACTTGGGAAATAGCAGGAGAACTGCTGTGATTTGCTGGCAGCTACCACCTCTCAGGAGACAGGGAGGGAATCGTGCCTCACAGACACCGTGTCTGGCAGGGATACTCTGATGGCAGCTGAGATCACCCACCACAACTGCAGTGCAATCTAGCATGCAATATACTTCTCTCTGCTCTTTGTATGGACTGGATTCTGGAGCCTACCTGGGCAATATATGGCATCATGAGTAGAACTGTGGGATATATAGAGATATATATTATTAATACTAACTTCACTAGAAAAAAAAGGACATTTAGGGACAAGAATATTAATGATCTGGGATCAAATTCAGCAAATAGTTTCAGCTGAAGAAAATGGGGAGAACTGAAATATATTGAAACAAAATACTTTGATTTGACAAACACTCTGTTTCAGAAATGTCAAGACACTTGACAGTTTGAAAAATGTCAGAACAAGAAGTTCTTCATTTCAAAATGGCAGAAGGTAGGGCAGGGTGGCACCTTAGGGACTAACTGGTTTAGAAAGGCATGAGCTTTTGTCAGCAACAACCTACTTTGTCAGATGTTATGAAACGATATTTGTAATCTAAAAATTGATCTTAAAAAAAAAAGGTTACAATACAACATTTGTGATAGGTCCTAATCAATACCCCACCCCTGTTTTTTTTAATAACTTCCAGTATAGCTGGATTATTTTAATCTGAGCTCAATTTTTTTCCTGCTAATGTTAATTCAGCCAACCAACCGAAGTGGTTTGTATTCATTGAGCTCTAGGCATAAGGCCATGGACAATTCCTGCTTTCAGGCAGCACAGAGCCAATGTAAGAAGGTTGGGCTGGGCTCCTGTGTCAAGAGCTGGTCAAATGTTGCTCATCAAAACTTATTTCAAATCAACTGGGAATTGACAAGAAAGTAAAGTTTCATCAAGATTTGAGCCCACTGCAGGACTATGGCCTTACTTTATTTACCATACATGTAATGGACTCAGAAACTGATGGGATAAGCATAACTTAACTTTTAGAGAAGCTACTGAAAATAGCCAGAGCAAGGGTTTCTATCTACAGTAATGATGCATTTTGGGGCTGATATCTCAGGATCTTTGAGGACTACAAAACAGTGTTGTACAATTTGGCATTTGAAAGCTGGGAGTCTCCGGAATAAAGACTCCCGTTCTAATTGGGATCAGTTGCAAGCCATTAGACTTTCAATATGTCACCGATACGGGGATGCATATGATCTGTCTTGGATCTCATTATCCCTGCTCCTAATTAGCCTGGCCTATGTCATTGGGGGAATGAAAAGAGTCAGTTTTTAAAATTTTTAAAGGCAGGTTCAGGCGCAGTTTTGGAAGAGATGGGCCAAGTGGACAGAGGGCAGATAAAGTAGTCAAAATTATATGTACAATTTATCCTGTGTCATTACAGTTTTAATCTGAAGTAGCAACAATACATAAGCAGCACTTAAGATGTCCTGTTGTGGAGTATAGTTACATGCTGCAATAAGATGCTTTTCCTGGAGTGCACGTTTTCCATCTTATTGTGCAAGACCTCGTCTTTTTATCCTTTTATGGCCTCTTGTTCTTCTCTCCTCCATAACTCTTTTCCAGCCAGGTTTTGTCTCTGTCTCCCTTCTTTGCTCAGCACAGAGGAAGTGAAGACTGCAAAGTTTGAACAAGACTTCTGTAACTGGTCTTCTGAGAAAACTCCTGAGCAACCTTGAAAGGCCCTTCAATGTGTTTCATAGTGAAGGGGCCTGCTTCTGAAAAAGTTGGACCAGAAGCCAAACTGAATTCTAGATACTTGGATAGTGAGCTGCTTGTTCCCATGGTCATCTTTTCATTATGCATGTATACAGTGCAAGAGGGCCCCAGATCCTCACCAGAGCCCCGATACATTAACAGAAGAACCAAGGACTTTATATTGTTCCCCAACCTGTCCTGGAGGAGTCATTCACTTGGGTGCTTCATGTGCTTTTCTTTCTGATTTGGACAGAATAGGAAAAGGAACGTGTGGGTATCACCAGCATGCCACTCCACTGTACAGCCTGGACAATCAATCACTTCATGCAGAGAGGAGAAGCTTTGCTCTTCAATCACCTCTGTGACCTTGCCGATCTACTGCCTGCTGCAGAAAGGGAAGATCATGTGGCCATGAACATTACAGCTGTGCAAATACCAGTAATTGGGGTTTGGCAGCCAGATTGACATGGGGTGGGGGAGGGAAGCTTCTTTTCAGGCAACATTAAATGGATTGCTCTTGCCACTCCAAAGAAAAATTGAAATTTCATTTTGGGTCAGACGAAGCGATTTATACAACGTGGAACATTTTGTTTTCAGGGTTTTTTTTTAGCTTTAAAGGGAGAGAGAAAAAAAAGAGCCAGTCTAATTTAGTCTTGAAACTTTGTTTTAACACCAAGTAAAATTATTTCATTTGAGAGCTGCTAAAATGAAAACCAGACTGTTTTGAATTTGTTCCAGACTGAAACTATTAACCGAATGCAGCAAATAGTTTTCATTGAAGCAAAACAGCATTTTCAGTGAATAAGCTATTCATTCAAAAAAAGAGAGAGAGAAAAGATTGCTTCATTCCCGCATCATAAACATGTCAGGAGTGCTTCAATCCTTAAGTCTGTCTTTGGTAACCTTAGAAAGCTCTGGGGGGAAAAAACCCAACAGAAAGGAAACTATTGGCTCTTTGGGACCATGGAAAGCTTTTCTAGTTGAAATATTTCTTTGAATTCCACTGGAGGTCAGTGCAACATTAGAGTTTTACCTGGAATAAGATGTCCTTTCTCTCTGATCTAGTGCAGCGGTTAAACATAAACCCCCTGTAGAGTTGTTTTTAAACTAGATTTGGATAGTAATAAATATGGGCTTAAGAACAGTGCTTTGTGGTTATATTTGGAACAACTTCGCAGAGCTGTGTGAATCTAGACTCTTTTGCCTGGTAATCAGGTGGGGGTGGGTGGGCAGGAGGGGGAGGTTGTTAATGACTTTGAATATTTTGTTTCTCCAAATCCAAAATTTCTCTGCAAACAGAAGTAGGTTTTGACACATGTTTTCACACAGCAAATCAAAAGTGTCTCTCCCCTGGCTATCAGCCCACATGTGCTGCGGTTCAGTGACTTGGGCACTCGACTCCAGAGAGCTGCACTGTTTACTGCTCCAATTTCACCGACCTGCAACAAGTCACTTGGCCTCCCAGTGCCTTGCTTTCCTCTCCCTTCCTTGGTTTGTTCCAAGATGTGGCTGTGTAATGGCTGCTGCTGCTTCTGCACCTGGTCTACACACGTATAATGCAGCTAGCTCAGATACTGCTAACAACTCAGCTCCTTACCATCCTGGTACTCTGAGCAGGCTACAAAGCCCTCCCAAGAAGCTACGTAGATACCTGGGTGGCTCACCCACGCTGCATTCAGTGTGCCGGGGCCGCGCCGCCAGCTTGGGCACATTTATACCAGCTGCAGTTTAGACACGGCTTTAGCTAAATTTTTGTTGGAAAGAGCCACCTCTTACTGCATTTATGTAAAGCTCTTACTGCATCAAGCCTAAAGGCTACTATAAATTTACATCCTCAGGCTTCACAAGGATGTTCTTGGAAGCTACTTTTGTGCTTCTGTTTTTCACTTTCTGCTCTGTAGCTCTCCACTATCATCTCACTCTGGGGACCCAATGTTTCTTCTCCGAGTTCACTTCACACTTCACCCTTGTTCTGGTTTTCGGGGAACACCACATCTGCTCCAGTCTCTGTCCCACTTTTCATCACTACTGTCTGCTCTATTAGTATAGACACCGTCTCTCTGCCCCACACCATTTCACAGCAGCATCATCTTTCTTTGCCATCATCATTTCCATCTCTCAGGTACAAGTGCCACCTTCCCACTTTCTTTTTCTTCCATTCACCTCAAAACTCCCCTGCCCCGGGTTTCCAAAGTGTGTTGGCGAGTTGATGACCCTGAAGTCTGCTAGGATAATTTCCTTTATTAGACCAACTAAATAGCTGGAAACAAACTGTTCAATGCAAGCTTTTGGGTACAAACATCTTTCTTCAGACAGAGAGAAAGAATATGTCGTTGCTGTGTATGGAAAGGAAGCCAGTATGCAAAATGCAGGTCTGTGAAAATGCAAGCGTGTAGCAGTGAGGATCAGAGGCCCTGTGAGTAATAGGTATGAGGCAGGTAGGTGGAGGTGTGGGGAAAGGGGGAATTTGAACTGGTGATAGTCTGTAGCTGGTAAAATGCAGGCCAGTTACCTGGGGTTAGCAGGTGGCCAGCAGTATAATGTGCCATAAATCCAGTGTCTATAATATATAGTGCATGATTTTTTGTATCCAGTAGATTTAAGTGAAGTTTGTAGGCTCGTCTACTGCTATGCATTTTCACAGACCTGCATTTTGCATACTGGCTTCCAGTCCACCCAGGAGAGTGCGCACAGCAACAACATACTCTCCCTCTGCCCGAAGAAGCGTATTTGTACTTGAAAGCTTGCAAAGAGCAATTTTTCCAACTATTTAGTCGGTCTAATAAAAGATAAGATTCTTTGGGTAAATGTGATTGTCTGCCTAGGTTCTTAGACCAACATAGATAGCTACAACCAACAACCCTAAGGTAATCTCCGCATTTATATGTTGTGCCTTTTATCCCAAAGCATTCCACACTCCCCATAAATTCAAAACCATCAAAACTTTTAAGCTAATGAGCTTAAGAGCATGGGGAAAGAGAGAGAGGAAAGGGGGAACTTCCTTCAAGAACACTGTTGTAAACTCTTATACTTATGAATAATTACTGTGCACAGTAGATAGATCCAACATACAATACTGTATCCGAAGAATAAGGAATTAAAACAAGTGTAAAACATTAGGCTTAACACAGAGGATACATTTAAAATGGGACTGTCAGAGTCAGATTCCAGCATTAATATTTTTGGATAAGCCTTTAAAACACCATTGTGCCACCTCTGACCTGAAACCTATTGTGGTGGATGGAGACCAGATCACATTGCTATCTATACCTACGGCCAGCCTAAGGATCATACAGAGGGTCAGGAAGAAGGTCTTCAAGGTATCTCTGAAGTCATACATTGCAGACTTGCTGCTTTCCACCAATTTAATTGGCTTCCCCCACCCTTTAGTAAAGTGGATAGAAACACTTTTTTTTGCCTTGAGACAGGTGCTCAGATGTTTGGTTTTATTTCCAGTCCCCTCTCGTCTTGGAGGCTTTCACTTTTTGTTGCAGTGAGGCACAACGGCTGGGCCTGGTGGGTTTCAAAGATGCAAGCCCAGTTAAGCTGATGTAGCTCACTTAAGGGCATTGGATCCACGTTAAGCCAATTTAGGAGTCCTTTGGAATTTCATCCTAGTCATTTGAAAAGCAGTTGCTTGGAGCACTGGAAAAACAGCATCACAAAAAGCAGTGCTAACAACCAAATCGATGGACTGATCTGAAACCTGGCTGAACCTAGCACTGGAGAATATGCGATAGGGAAGCAGCTCACATTTGCTTTGGCACTTGTACTAGCAAACTGCAAACAAGCGGCTCCTCCTTCTGCCCTGGGAGGATCCCACAGGCACCCTGATGCACTTTCCTTCTCACCTCCTGGAGTAAAGCGCTCAGGTTAGGCCTACAATGCAAGGCTGCCAGCGCTTTACCGACAACAGCTCCATGGTAGCCAGGTTGCCTGGGGTACACACCGCTCTGCCAGCAGAAGGATTATTTCTGCCCCCAGAGTGACACCAGCCACAGGCAACAGAAATGCAGACCTAAGCTATGTCCACAGTTGGGGGTTTACTGGCAGAGCTACACCTTTGCCAACGCAGCTCTGTTGACAGGGCTTTCTAACATAGACAAGGCCTCACTCATCATAGGGGAATATAACTGTTTTTTCCCCTTTCGAGGCTCCATTGCATTTAGCCCAGCACACACACAGACACATGCTTTTTGTCCCTTGGACAATCCTTCTAGGGACCAGATCGATTACCTTCCTGTAGTTCACAATCCCACCGCCCTTTTCCCTAGGCTTAACTTTCCCAGCCAAGAAAATCCTTCAAACACAGCCCTCTCTCCAGTTTTCTCTCTTAGGTTTCCTTGCCTTGGATCCACTACCAAATAATTCAGCTCTCCTTAAGCTTCCTCACAAACTCAGCAGTTTGCTTCCCCTCAGGTCACTGCTCTGCTATTTAATCAGGCTGTTACTCCTTCCCAGGTGAGTCTAGTAATGCCAAACACCTGTCAGACCACAGTGACAAGTGGGGAGCCCTGTCCTTCCTACTCTGCAAGGCTTGTGGTCCCCAGCCCCTAAGGAACAACATGTGGGATTTCCACCCAGTTTGGGTCATGCAGTCCAGAAAATGTTTCCAGCATTTTTCAGTCTGCTTTCTCAAGACCTGTGGAACAGAGCAACTGGTCTTAGAAACCATCTCTTTCTGCCAGCTTAAAGGAGTCCGTATCCTGACACAACAAATTAAGTGAATATGTCTTTCTGTTTCTAAATACTATGATTGTTGTGTATTTGCCACTCTTTTACTCATGGAAAACCTTCTTATTAACCCATGAATTGGTAAACCTGGCAGCTCGGACTTTGGTCTTAAAAAGAGCAAGTCTTTATTCCCGAATGATTTCATCCCATATGAATTTGTTTTGTAATTCTCTATCCCCTTTCCATAACTTCTTTTATGCTAATCAATTCTTAAGTATTTATTAATTAGATTTTTTTTACATAAGAGAAAGTTCTTGAAAGTTAATTAAAGTTGCACCACTGTAATTGTGCAAAAGTAGTTTTTTCCATCCTGAAAATTAAACCTTTATAATTAAAATCCGATAATCATTTCAAGATTTAAATGGGTGTTTATTCCTCATTTATTATTTTTTTTCCTTTACCACTTTGGAAATGTAATTGCTCCTTTATGGAAAAATCAATCCAATCTTGCCTCAATGTCAGGCTTCTTTCCCCACTCTGAGAGTTGGGAAGTTTCCATTGCTCTGATGATTTTATGCCATTTGCAGAAATGATTGTATCCCGAGTGGATAGACAGGGACATGCACTTACATACATCTCGATCTCCTCCCCTAACAGCCTGTCACTTTGTTTCTCTGAGATGTAAAAAAATTGTTTTTTGTTATCTCAAGGATGGAATATGGATTTCAGAAGCTATCAGCATCTCAATATTCACTAGCAAGAAGCTACTGTACATTCAAGTAACACCAAGGTTGCAAATCAAAACGAACACAGGCCCAACAGAGTCAAAATTCAAGCAGATGCTAAGGGCAGGATTCTGATCTCAGTAACATGGGTGTAAATCCTGAATGACTCCTCGAATGCAATTGTGACTAGCATGTCTGAGCGGACTCTGGGCTGCTCTTCTGTCCTTAGTGCATGGAAACGTGCCTATTAACAAACACGGGACTGCTAAAGGTAACAGCCTGCAGATAAGCTTTAATACTGAGGGTATGAGTATTTATAGTTTTGGGTACTGGTGCTTTTCAAAGGAACACAAAAGTTCCAGGGCTGAGGTTTTTCAAGGGGTCCAGTGATTTTGGTTTCCCAACATGATGTGCCTGAAAGGCACCTGGGTGCTCCTTAGTGCTTTTGGAACACCAGGCCTTTTCAAGGCACCGAACTTCATACATCCAAAAATCATTAAATCCTTTTGAGTATTTCAGCTGAAGGGCCCAAATCTCATGAAACTTCAATTCTTGTTAGATACTTATCTCCTTACATGCTGTGGAAAATCCAAGTCTAAAAATCACACAACAGAAGTACAAGAACAACTCTAAGTGTTTACAGTAGGGACCCGAGCAAACTCAAATCACTGCAGCTGCATTTCATCTCACCCAGATCCCTTATGAAACTTCCAATTGGAGGTGGAATTTATTAGTGCTGGTCCCACATCTGTTATGTGCGGTGTTGCTGTGGGCTAGTAAACAGCTGCCTCTTTTTGCTTTTGAAGTGGCCACATCTCTGATGCTGATGAAGTCATTTCTTCTTGTAGTGCAATAGTTTGTAAATGGGTCTGCAGAGCACTTCAGGATGCTTCAGGATGAAAGATGCAATGGTAAATAGATGTATGTCATTATCATAAAGTTATTAATCACTGCACTAAGCCAATGTCACCCTCTCTCACAAGATAGCCCTTGATTTCCTAAGTGTTGGCTAAGCATTTAGCACACCAGTAAAACAAAACATAATTGATAATAACCAGCACGTAATTAATAATAATCAGTAATTAATGAAACATCAGTATGCTGCTACCATGGAGTGTTTGAGCATACTGACCCTCTTCTACACTACGTTTGGTTGAGCTGCCTATCCAAGCTCTAAGCTCTGGACAAGTATCTGGAGATATTAAAAAATTAGACAGAAATAACATTTTTTAGTAGCGAGAGGATTTGGACACAGAGGTGTTGTTTAAATATTAAAAATGGGAACATTCAGGTTAGATACGAGGAAGACCAGACTGTTACAATGCAGGCCTACACAGCCACATGAAATAAAATATAAAAGGACAACTGCCTTCATTAGAAGTGGTCAAGAAGAAACAAAATCCTAGCGGTGGGAGTGCAGAGGGACAGCTAGCTTGTTGCAAGGGGAAAAGCTGGATGATAGCTTATTATTATGAGTATGTTTCATTACAGTAGCAGGTGCCAGGCAAGATCAAGGACTTGTTGTACTAGGCAGGTACGTGCACATATTACATGGCAGCTCCTGACTTAAAGAACTTACAGTCAAATTGGACAAGACAAGAAAGAAGGTAGTTTTATTTCAAGGTATGGGAAAGCTCACATGACTTGCTCAAGGTGACGGTGGCCGTCTGTGGCGTGTATAGGACCTGAGCACACTTCTCCACATCCTTGTCCATTGATTTAACCACAACACCGTCCTTCATCTACTATGCAGGGTACCAAGAGTGACTTTTGGTGGAAAGGTTTTGGAATGATTGCTAAGCAGCGATTATGTCTTTTACTGGCTTGATAAAAATGCTGATACTACCAGACAACTTGTCTCCCCACTGGCTCACTGTGATAGCATTTCAGATTAAATGCCTTTTTGGCCACATTTCACCACTTTCCACCTACCTGCCATTCTCTTTACTGCAAGGGAAGTGACTCCTGTAAATATAGAGTCAAAATTTGGCAAGTGACTGGAAAACAAGTTAAAGGGCAACAGAAACACACTGCAAAAGGCCTACGAACATGGACCTGTATGTGTCCCAAATTAGCCTCCATCTACTATGCTTTCATCACGAGGCAGGAAACTAGAAATCAGGGGACCTAGCTTCCTCTCCCAGGACTGGTATCGGCTCGCTGTGGGATTTTGGACAAGTCATGGTCACCTTTGTCTTCCTTCCCCTTGTCTGAGCTCTTGATACTTGTGAATTCCAAGAGGGGGAGGAACTATTCTTGATTCTCGGCTACCGGAGTAAGGAGGGATCTGATAAAGATTATCAGGGTAATAAACCATGAGCTGAAAACCAATGACAAAAAAACCCCAAAGAAATTAAAAAAAAAAAAAGATTATTCCCTTGGCATTATTTGAAGGTTTTGCGCTGTTACATTTTAAGGCAATCTCAACCAAAAAGATAAAGAAATATCGCCTCTATAAACAAGGATACATCACTCAGGAGATGGTGAAGTCTAAAGGGTTTGGGCTTTGCCTGAAGTGCTGAGAGTCCAAGGAGGTATGGAGAATTAATTAGAGTTCTGATATCATCCAGGTAAATGGAAGTAATAAGCAATGCTCTGAAAGGAAGACCTGATTTATATTCAAACATTTACGGACTAAACAGCCTCTGATTCTCCTATCTAGCCCACTCCTTATCCTTTAAGGCTGCAATAAGTGACCTCTTAATCCTAAGCAAAAGACTGCATGAGCCGTTGGAATGGAAAAAAGAAAGCACATTCCCTTCACTATTCCAATTTCCACTCAATTTCAGTGTGAAGATGTTTGTCCTTTTTTTTTTTTTTGCTTCCCACAGCCAGTGAATTGCAAGTGCATTTGATGATGAGATACATTTGTGTGCATCTGAACACTTTTAGAGCCAATATTTTTTTTTCCTTTTTTTCCCCCCCCCCCCAGATAAAGAAGTGCCTGACCTCCCTAAACAGCAGCAACGCCACACTCCTCCAGCTTGGTTAGATCTCCATTGTCCTGATCATGCTCTTAAAGCACTTACAGCAATAATTTCTTGGCATGATGGATGGACTCAGCAATAACCTGATCTTGCAATGCACTGAATAAACACTTCAGCATTTAGTACATGGACACTAATGTGCTTGGAAGTAATTGCTTAGAGATTCCCAGCTTCAATGTAATAATGCAGGGATTGCATTTATATGGCATATGGCATAAGAAAAAAATGCTATTGGACAAGGAAAAGAGGTAGATAACTAGCAGTTCCCGGTGACCATATTCTTGGGCTGTTCTGGGCTGCAATCTGATTTCTTTTCCATGGGGGGTTGGTTGGTTCAGATGAAAGATCCATTGACTACAGTTGATTTACTTTGGTTTCATGTCAGCTTCTAACAGAAATCTCTGACTTTGGATAGCCTCCATCAAAATGGGACTCCTTAAAGATTAAAACGGCTATGTTAGTTTGGCAAACATATATCTTCTATGGTAAATACATATACATGTGAAGCAATTCCTCAAGTGAACTGGAAAAAAAAATCTTCCAAGTTAGTCAGTGAAGAAGAAAGTGTTTGGTAGCACAAAACTTCTGAATTTTCAGTTATGCAAATAATTGCTCTCACTCTCATTAACAATTCTCTGCTTTAATGGCATTTATAAATTAAAGAAGCCAGTACGTTAAATGGAAACTAATTTAAGTATTTTCCATATTATTAAAAAGCTTTTCCCTGGACAATGCGGTTCATATGTGATTATGAAAATGACTCCTTAATTGGCTGCAAAGTGTGCTCACCTTTAAGATACAAAAGAGCTGTTTATAAACATTTCCTTTTTTTAAATATTTGAGTATAAGAGGCAAAAGGAGAAAAAATAAAGGAGGAAAAAAATCTGATGACCAAAATAAAATAAAAAAGAACTGCTTTCCCAATGTATTATTAATATCAATAAACGGGAGCTGGTGAATTTAAAAGCCAAGATGTAATGCATTTTCCTGGAGCAGTGAGCCTTTAA